TCCACCCATGTTTTCACTAACGATGGTACATTTTCCGGCGCTAGTTTGTATACAGCAAAAAACAACCATCAATTGTTCATTGAATGGTGTCCCGGTGTGTTACTGGTAGCACATCTGTCCGGTACTTCCTTCTCTGAATTTGAAAAAAAGCAGACAATCTGTATCTGAACTCCTATAAATAAGGTCTTATTACTTGACAACGCATTAGCCTTTTCCTGGACTACGTTGTTTATCTATGCAGCACTTTTGTTTTTCACATTTTTGTTATTGTTCTTTTATTTAAACTTTTGATTTACACATGTGAAGAGCGTGTAATAAATTGAAGTTGTTAGCGAACGGTGCGGGTTTCGAACGTCTACGAAAGTTTCGCTCATACTTCAGCATTCTTGTCATAACTCAGTCATTACTCTCCTTGTTACTGCGTCTTGAGCACGATTCTCAGCAAATCTCGTTACACTCGAAATGTGCTCTTTCTCCGAAGTTTTCTGACACATTTTTATGGCAGGACTCATGTACAATACCGCTACTAATTTTTGTTCAATCGACGGTTTGCGACGGTCGGAAACCGTCGCAAACCGTCGGCTCGCCATAACTCTTTAAAAAATGGTTCGCTCGACCTGCAGTTTATACCATCTGATAGCTCTGCTCGAGATCTACAAGATGGTTAAATTCAATTTCTGAAAGAGCTCCATCTAGGATTGCGCCATGCACTCGACCTCCATCCCGAGAAGTAATGAATATACTTTGTATGTGATGCGCATATAAGTCCTCCTATGCAGCCTGATCATCCCACAGAAACATGGATCTCAACACCCTCAGAATACGCCACGTACCCAACCGGTCCACCATATGGTGAGATTGAATGAATGTTTTTTTTTCGAATTTCACGATCTTTAATTCGTTCTAGAGCGCTAATTGGCTAACCGTGCGCTGATCAACCCATTCTTCCACTCCAAATGAGAATCTTCGAACAGTTTCCAGCAGTAGTAGTAGACCTATTATGTGACATTCCCCACATTTAGAGGAGATGATTTGCGGAAACCTGAGAAGATAGCCAGGAATCTCTCCACAGACGTAGACTCCAGTTACTTCTCTGTAAGATTGATGTAGAATATTTGGTCACGGGTAAGCGCTCCGTCCGTGGTGTGGCCCCAAACATCACTCTCCGTCATGCCCTAAAATGAAAATCAGAGTTTTTGCTCTTCCAGATGACTCTACAGAGCTGAGGGGTGCACCGTTCGATTTCCCATGAAAAATACTACCGAATGGTGTACAACTCAGGTTTCACACAAAACTTTGTTTTTCTCACTTTTTTGCTCCCCATTGCCGATCGTCCTCCCAGCCCTTGGCGCCACGTGCGATTTAGCGAGAAATTCTCTCCACCGACGTGGACTCCGGTCACTTGTCTGTAGGAAAGAGGTAGAATATTTGGTCACGGGTAAGCGCTTCCGTCCGTGGTGTGGCCCCAAACATCACTCTCCGTCATGCCCTAAAATAAAAATCAGATTTTTTGCATTTCCAGATGAACTCGCAGACCTGAGATGTGCCCCATTGGATTCCCCGTGAAAAATGCTATCGAATGATATGCATTACTCCTCCCAGTTTGAAACTTTGGTTTTTCACCGTTTTCAGCCTTCCCCTATTGCCCAATTGCGCATCATTATTCCACTATTACTATCCCAAAATCTCAAAGTTTCATTTTTCGTCGAAACTTTGCCTATTGGGGTAATTCGATGCCCTGATTACGAATATGACATTCATTCTCGTAGTGTGGCCCCAAACATCACACCTCGTCATGCCCTTGCGATATGATCAGATTTTTTTTGGTTCTCCAGATGAACATAGAAGACTGAGATGTGCACCATTCAATTCCCCATAAAAAATACTGTCGAACGGTATACAACTCACTTTCTGGAGAACATCTAGTTTACCTGCCACTAGATCCCATTTTGTGACATTTCCCAATTTTCGAAGGGATGTTTTGAGGAAATTCGAGAAGGGAGGGACGAACTCTCTTCCCTATCGTAGAGTAAGTTTACTTGTATGTTGGAAAAAGATGATACACTCGGGCTTGAGCGAGTGTTTCTTCCCTGGTGTGGCCTCAAACATCGCTCTCCGTCATGCCCTGAAATAAAAACCAGATTTTTTGGTCTTCCAGGTGGCTCTACGGAGCTGTGGTGTACACCATTCGATTCTCCATGCAAAATGCTATCGAACGATATACATCTCAGTTCCCACTTGAAACTTTCGTTTTTCACCGTTTTCGGCCTTTTCCTTATCGCCGATCGCCTTCCTCAGCCCTGGCCACCCACGTGCTATTCACGTGCGCGGTGCGTGGTGACTTTCCCACGCACTTTCGACACGCATAGCGGTGTATCGATCGGGCTGCCCGCCAGCTACCGAGAAAGGCCATCGGCTGTCACGTGAGCTCTCACGCACCGCGCACGTGAATAGCACGTGGGTGGCCAGGGCTGAGGAAGGCGATCGGCGATAAGGAAAAAGCCGAAAACGGTGAAAAACGAAAGTTTCAAGTGGGAACTGAGATGTATATCGTTCGATAGCATTTTGCATGGAGAATCGAACGGTGTACACCACAGATCCGTAGAGCCACCTGGAAGACCAAAAAATCTGGTTTTTATTTCAGGGCATGACGGAGAGCGATGTTTGAGGCCACACCAGGGAAGAAACACTCGCTCAAGCCCGAGTGTATCATCTTTTTCCAACATACAAGTAAACTTACTCTACGATAGGGAAGAGAGTTCGTCCCTCCCTTCTCGAATTTCCTCAAAACATCCCTTCGAAAATTGGAAATGTCACAAAATGGATCTAGTGGCAGGTAAACTAGATGTTCTCCAGAAAGTGAGTTGTATACCGTTCGACAGTATTTTTATGGGGAATTGAATGGTGCACATCTCAGTCTTCTATGTTCATCTGGAGAACCAAAAAAAATCTGATCATATCGCAAGGGCATGACGAGGTGTGATGTTTGGGGCCCCACTACGAGAATGAATGTCATATTCGTAATCAGGGCATCGAATTACCCCAATAGGCAAAGTTTCGACGAAAAATGAAACTTTGAGATTTTGGGGCAGTAATAGTGGAATAATGATGCCCAATCGGCAATAGGGGAAGGCTGAAAACGGTGAAAAACCAAAGTTTCAACTGGGAGGAGTAATGCATATCATTCGATAGCATTTTTCACGGGGAATCCAATGGGGCACATCTCAGGTCTGCGAGTTCATCTGGAAATGCAAAAAATCTGATTTTTATTTTAGGGCATGACGGAGAGTGATGTTTGGGGCCACACCACGGACGGAGCGCTTACCCGTGACCAAATATTCTACCTCTTTCCTACAGACAAGTGACCGGAGTCCACGTCGGTGGAGAGAATTTCTCGCTAAATCGCACGTGGCGCCAAGGGCTGGGAGGACGATCGGCAATGGGGAGCAAAAAAGTGAGAAAAACAAAGTTTTGTGTGAAACCTGAGTTGTACACCATTCGGTAGTATTTTTCATGGGAAATCGAACGGTGCACCCCTCAGCTCTGTAGAGTCATCTGGAAGAGCAAAAACTCTGATTTTCATTTTAGGGCATGACGGAGAGTGATGTTTGGGGCCACACCACGGACGGAGCGCTTACCCGTGACCAAATATTCTACATCAATCTTACAGAGAAGTAACTGGAGTCTACGTCTGTGGAGAGATTCCTGGCTATCTTCTCAGGTTTCCGCAAATCATCTCCTCTAAATGTGGGGAATGTCACATAATAGGTCTACTACTACTGCTGGAAACTGTTCGAAGATTCTCATTTGGAGTGGAAGAATGGGTTGATCAGCGCACGGTTAGCCAATTAGCGCTCTAGAACGAATTAAAGATCGTGAAATTCGAAAAAAAAACATTCATTCAATCTCACCATATGGTGGACCGGTTGGGTACGTGGCGTATTCTGAGGGTGTTGAGATCCATGTTTCTGTGGGATGATCAGGCTGCATAGGAGGACTTATATGCGCATCACATACAAAGTATATTCATTACTTCTCGGGATGGAGGTCGAGTGCATGGCGCAATCCTAGATGGAGCTCTTTCAGAAATTGAATTTAACCATCTTGTAGATCTCGAGCAGAGCTATCAGATGGTATAAACTGCAGGTCGAGCGAACCATTTTTTAAAGAGTTATGGCGAGCCGACGGTTTGCGACGGTTTCCGACCGTCGCAAACCGTCGATTGAACAAAAATTAGTAGCGGTATTGTAGTACAAAAAGCATCACTTCTGAGTATTCGTGAAGTGAATGAAAAAACGAGGAAAATGATTTATGGCTGTACTCCCGATCGTGACAGTATTCGTCTGATTTTCGTTTTCTTGTGAAAATGTATAATAAATGTAAAAATGTATAATAAATCTAGTGGTGGGCGGAAGTGGTGTAGTGACAAGTGGCACGCTTACCACGCGAGCGGTCCGGGGATCAAATCCTGGGTCGTGAGTCGCCCGGGCCAACCAAGCCTTCCATCCCTCCGGGGTCGGTTAATTGGTACCAGACTTGTCTGGGAGGATAAAAACACTGACTTGTACATCGGCTGGCCCCCGCAAGTCATTGTATAGGCCACATCGCATTCAAACGCCACTACGAATGTACAAATGGAAGTAGAATGCGTGCCGCATCCCAAAAAGGGATTGATCAACGGCAAATGCTTTATCCTTTTTTAATTTATCCTGAGCTGAGAAGCGAAACGGACCACAGTTGTACTTGTTATTAAAAATTCTCTCACTACAACAACATCTCCTTCCCTGACCAATGTCTGTGCGTTTTTGTTTGTTTGAAACGAAGGTCTCTAGTCAGTACGAATGCTTTGCAGTGGACTTCATTTGTTAAAATTGCACTTCTTGGAAGGCAGAATGAACCCCCTTTGTGCCTTTCACGCCGCCCAATAAAATGCAGAAAGAAAATGTGACAAAAAGCTCTGAACGATCCCATTTGTTATCCGACTCAACGGCACTAATACCATGGTACCATTACGTTTGAAATTTAGTGTCGATCACCACCCCTTCCCCCTTGTCCTTCGGTTTTCCCTATGGACCTGCTCCTTTCTTCCTCTTACACCTTACCAGACCACGTCCACCGTGTAGGGACGGCAGAATTCGGAAAGTTTCTAAAACCCCTCCAGATTCTTCAAACTTCTTGAGAACTTCTCGGAATCAATCGCCAGCGGAGGAGGGGGGAGTCATGATGGCGTGGCGCTGTGTTTGGCTGCACTTTGCGCAGACGACTCAGGATTGAGCTAATATCCACTTTTGGCAACAAACCTCGAAGGAGAGGACGCACTGGTGCTTAAAACAGTTCGCTATATTTTCCCCGAGTCCCTCCCTTCTCCTAGTCTTAAGGGCCGTTAACACCCCGGCGGTCCCCTGTACTACGTTAGCTCCAACTTTTCCTCTTCCCAACTTTGTATCTGCACATTTTACTGATTACGACTGCCTCGGAAATCACAAATGCGACCACTCCCCTCTCCCTTCCGCGACATTGTCTGTTGGCCAATGCCTGGGAAGGGGTGGTTGCATTTGTTGAAACTTCAAGAACAGAACCTTCCATGAGTCCTACCTCCTCTATTTGAGTGACGACAATGAAAACTCTTGAAATAACTAGTCCTCAGGAGTCGACATCAGCGAAAGCATAAATTCCAGGCGAGTCTACCGATCGCCTCGTCGACGATTCCGTTCTTGTACTGCTGAATTACGTAGAAGTGAGAACATCTTGAGCTGCTTGTTACCAGAGCTTGAACTTCAGGTGAGGCTGGCTTCTTTGCTATCGTTCTTACTCATAGATCTCTTCTATTTTACAGGTGGTGCACTTTTTCGATCAATCCCAGTCACTTCCGCCATTTTTCCGGGCCCTTGATAACTCTTATCGAGTTCCAACACCTAGGTGAGCTTAATACGAATGGTAAATGATTATAAGTTACAAATCACATATCGCTGGCCATCGTATAACTTCGTATAATGTATGCTATACGAAGAGCTGATCTTTTCTACACACCCCCCCCCCCTAATGCCACTTGCTGCGCAGGGGTGACGGGTGGATTGGAAGGTTACCCGTGGCCTCTAAAATTCGGTGTGTTTTAACGGCTCACTCGATCGATTCCCTTCACGTAATAACTCAGCGCTCCATCTCTGATAAACCAGAGAAGGATACTGATTAGTATGAACAATCCTTTCCCCAGAGCGGACGGTCAGCTTCATGTCCGGCCCTTCAATGGAAAGGGTGGCTATAAATCATTACCCTTGAAGGTATTGTCCACATTCAAGGAGCATTCTTGGAAGCGTTTCAGGTGCAAGATACCTCACTATTGAAGAGAAAAGAGAAGAAGCAGTCTGAAGCATTTCATTTAAAGGAGAAATTCACGATAAGAACGAAGGTCAAAGAAAGGGAAAATTGCATAGTTGGGAGACAGGCGGACCTCCTGAGGGTGACCGACGCGCAATTGGCAGCGAAAGATTTGACCTCGGCGATCTAGCATGGCTCACTCTTGGCGCGGTTGGCGGGGTACGCCCACCGACTATCTAATCACTCGCCGCAGGTCTATACGTGGCGAGTGATTAGATAGCAGAGAGAGCGTAGTGTTGAAGAGGGCACAGCGATGAGAGTCGCATCAATGCGCAAATCAACGGGCAAGGAAGGGTTCCATTCTCGGGTTTCGGGCCGTTTCAAATGGTTTCTTCTTCATCCCTGCTCCACTGACCACCTCTACCCTATTTCCAATGAGCTAACTTTTCATCGTGAATTCTGCCTTTAAGTCCTCCTTCTTCATCGAAGTCGTGTGAGGTAGACTGAGACATATCGAGCATCCGAGAGAAACTATGTTCGAGGCGAGAGCAAAAACGAGCGAGACAAGGGCCTATAACAGACGAGAGAGACTGAAGAGACCGCACCTATGGGAGTACGAAGTTGCGTAATGTGTCCAGGGTTTAAATTCAAATTGAGTACAAGGCGTCTTTGCCATGTGTTCGGACTCGAGAAAGTGGCGCTCTTTTGCGGTTGCAAGCCTTGGGACCTCATTTGCAGAAGGAATTACTTAAGGCCACACCCAGCAGAGGATTTTTTATAAGCTGCTTCTCTTCGCGTCATGACAGTACTAGAACCCTAGGGGACAATCACACAATGTGGCGTTCACGTGCACGGAATTCGACCGACAAGAACGCTTTGGGCTTGCAAAGTAAGCTGCTCGAGCTGCAGCGAACGAGCTCTCTTATCAGGCCGTTGTCTGGTGCTCTCTCATCTGATGCGCTCTCTCGCCCCATACTCTCCTCTTCGCGCTTAGTCTCTCGTTCCTTTAGCACAGCCAATTAGGAAGGTGAGTGAGCCCTCAACCTGAGCGTTTTCGACGGATTCTTTTCCTTTTTTCTTCACTGCCGGCCCACTTGGCACCGATACATTCACATTCGTGTGCAAGAGCCACACCAGTGCGATCCTGGGGCATGCCTTTAAGAAGTGGAAAGCATTAGGCCTCGACATGCCTTTGGCCGGGTCAGAAACTCAATGATCTTTTCAGACTCTAGAGAAAGGCGATTCCGTCTAAACATTAGCCATTAATGTTTAACAACCTCGTGAAGACTTTCACAGATGAGAACCACATCGATTTGTTTGGTTTTTGCCCTTTTTTATAAATGTTGTGCTGACTGAGTAGAAAACACTTTTTCCCCGGCCGGAATCCTAAAGCTACGTGTTTTGCCCATAAGCGAGACATTCTTCAGCGATCAGCAAACTTGCCAAGAGATGTCCCACATTGGCTTGGTGTCCAACAACAACATCCACAGAGCCGTGGATCTAACGCACATTCAATGCATTTCGTATCACCGACAGCATTTTCCAATCTTAGGCTAGCAGAGAATAAGCGTGTGCGCGTTCGGGATGTGAATCCTTTCTAACACGTTGGCGTCAGCGTGACGCGGTAACGCGTCCCCCCTTTGCGCACCTCGTGGGA